GCTATGTGAATTATATTAGTGTGCAGCAAGGCAGATACATTTCAGCAGGCTCGCTCGTTTCAGGATTCTGCAAGCAGATACACAAATTCATTGTATACCTATGATTAAAAGGTAAAATGTATAGGATGTATCAAGGTTTTGAAAAAATGTCTTCTTTTTTTAATGTAAATTGGAGGAACGTGAATGCTTGACCAAATTGGAGTGAGTGAGTGAGTTCGGTTTTACACTGCTTTAGCAATATTTCAGCAATATCACAGTGGGGGACCCCAGAAATGGGCTTCAGACATTGTATCCATGTGGGGAATAGAACCCGGGTCTTCGGCATGACGAGCGAACGCTTTACCCACTAAGCTACCCCACCGCCCCTGACCAAAAAGGACATGGTGGACGCTTGACCAGATGGATAAAGGAAGTGGACAAAAAGCGTGGAACTAGGTGGTGTATGAATGTCTGGGTTGCTAGATAGGTGGACAGGCTTGCACTGGATCAGTTTGTGAATTGACTGGATTGTCTTGTTAATGGACAGACACACAGACAGATAGACAGGCATGCAGTGGATTAGTTTGTGAGCAGCTGGATGGATAACAGTTGGCATGGGATGTGTGTATAGGTGGCTGGATGGATAAAGCATGGTACAAGATGAATGTGTGAGTGTCCAGATTGATAGATAATTACAAGAAGTTCCGATTAGATAGATGAATAAACAATGAATAAAACCGATTTGGAATGAGGAATGTATAGAATACAAAGTCCCTGACATTCATTTCAACTGATTTGTGTAGCCATACAGTGTGCTAGAATACAGAGACATTGTGTTTACAGTTGGTAGGTGCAAGATCACGTTACACTGGATAATGATAAATGGAGCATCACCATGCCAAGATTCCATTATTGTTGTTCCCGACTTGTGTACCTCAGCAGAGACCATATAATAGAACTGGATGATATTTGCATTGTGTATTTCAATCCCGGATGCTGTAGACCACTCTGACAGCTGCTGGACTGGATGACAGGACAATTGTTTGTGGTTGATTTCACTGTCAAGTTTTATACATACGCTACACTACTTCAGCTCATGGGAATAACCTGAAACTTGAACATGATTTATTGAGCTTTGTTTTGCGTGCAAGATAAAATTCATTGCCATTATAATGGCCGTGTACTGAAAGCCATAAACTTCATGCCACAGGAATACCAGGTATATTAAGGGCATGTTTGTTTCACTTCCTGTCAAGTCATTCATGCGTACAGTTTGATGAGAAATACATGTGGTGTTCTCAAGTTATGTTCTTGTTGCATCCCTTAGCTCAACTAAATCTGGAAAATAGATATAAAATGATATTCGAAGCTAACCACAGATGCCATTGGCAGATAACCACTGATACTATATCCAACAGACTGGGCGGTGGGGTAGCCTAGTGGTTAAAGCATTGGCTCATCACGCTGAAGGCCTGGGTTCGATTCCCCACATGGGTACAATGTATGAAGCCTATTTCTGGTGTCCCCATCCATCCATCCACCATGCATCCATCCATCTGCCCATCCATCCATCAATCCACCCATCAATCCACCCACCCATCCATCCACCATGCATCCACCCACCCATCCATCCACCATGCATCCATCCACCCATCCATCCATCTGCCCATCCATCCATCAATCCACCCATCCATCCATCAATCCACCCATCCATCCATCCATCCATCCATCCATCTAACCATCCATCCATCCATCCATCCATCCATCCATCCATCAATCCATCCATCCATCCATCATCCGCCCATCCATCCATCCATGCACCCATCGATCCATCCATCCACCCTCCGATCCATCCATCCACCCTCCCATCCATCCATCCACCCATCCATCCACCCCCCCTCCATCCATCCATCCACCCATCCATCCATCCACCCTCCCATCCATCCACCCATCCATCCATCACTTCCCCTTCAACATTAGTCTTTGTGGTGAGAACAGACCACCTTGCAGCACTCCCATGTTTGTGGTAAGCACCATCTGATGAGGACAGCTTGCTGATAGTGTGTAGTTAGTTCAATAGGTGCTCACGCTGTCAACCACTAGTCTACCTTGTACAGATCTCTAACAGGCTGAAGCTCTGCCTGGCACAGATCTTTGAGAGGCTCAAGCTGTATTCTTGCTTTCTGCAACACTGTATAACATCAATGCCACTGACTAATTTTGGCATAGATTGCCCAAAAAATTGGGAAATTAATGGGTCACCAAAAATCTGTGATAAGAGTATTAGCAGTCACTCACAATCACAAAGACCATCTGTATCCCAGAAAACAATAAGCTGTTTTGTAAGACCTGGGAGGCACCTACAGAGGATGAGTAATACAAGGTACAATCACAACATCACTGTCTAGCTCCAACAATGTGTAAGCTCTTCACCTCTATTATGTAATATTGTAGAACTATTTCCTTTGCTTACTGCTTGACACTCAACTGTCTGAGAATCCTGCCAGGAAGTTGTCTGAGTTGAGTTGAAATTAATATCTCTGACGTATCCTGGCCAGACTGGTTCTGCCCAAGTTAGATCTTCAGCAGTTAATGCCCATCCATGTTGGGAATTTAATTGCTCTGGCTTGTCATAAGCTATGAATATTTTAGGAGAGCTTTTCTCGCCTGGACTAATGACAGAAAGGAGGAACCTGGTTATTAAGGAGTAGAGTTAGCTGTCTCTCCAAATGATTTATATTTAGTTGTCTGCATGGAAACCTCATCAAGTTTTGTTTGTGTTGCATATTATTGGGAGTCAAGATAAGAATGATTTCTGGTCGGTGTGTGCTTGATTCACATGATTGACAGTTTGTGGAAGAAAATAGCATCTTTTTTATCTTCATATTTTTAGAGATGTTTTTCCAGATGATCATAGTGGGCAAGTTTTAAGTGAGGCAATGCTTATTATTGCTTTTTTCAACTTTGTACCAGTATTACGGAATAGGTAGTTTGAAGACTCTTGGAGATTGGTTCCTAAAATGTCCAAAAAGACTTATAAGTATCAACTTTGTTGGCTAGCTACCCTATAACTTCAGTCAGCATTTAAAAGTGTGTGTACCACATGAAGATTGGGTTAGAACTTGTCTTCAGCAAGCCCATTTACCAGTGCAACAGGTGATAAATGGTATCTGGTGATCGGACAAGATGACTTGTTGCACATCATTGTATCACAAGCGCATAGTATGATGCTCAGTGAGTCAATCACTGCATTGTCTGGCTCAGACACAGTTATTTACAGTGAGTGAGTGAGTTTAGTTTTACGCCGCTTTTAGCAATATTCCAGCAATACCATGGCGGGGGACACCAGAAATGGGCTTCACACATTGTACCCATGTGGGGAATCGAAACCCGGCTCTTCGGCATGAAAAGCAAATGCTTTAACCACTAGGCTACCCCACCACCCCAGTTATTTACAGACCACTGGAATATTGCTAACTGCAGTCTGAAACAAGAATGTGTACAAACTTAAAAAAAAAGATCAAGTGTAGGTTCCTATTTGTATTTCAAGGCCACCAGCCCATACACAGCAGGGATGGAAATAACCCATTGCCCGACGCCCCAGTCCAGTGTGTTTTTCTGTCGGGCAAGCAAATTTGTATATCACGCTGTACCGTTGTCCAGTTGACTTTCCAATGTTAATTATGTTGTTTATTTATAAAATGAACAAGAAAATCGTCCGGTATAGTGGAAAATTTATCAGGGCAAGTGATTTTACATGTGCCACTGTACCAGAGTACACTAGCAATTTTAAAGTTATTTCCACCCCTGCACAGAGTAAAGAAATACACATGGTTCCAAATATACCACAATAAGCTCATAGCTTGCCGCCATGAATGTGCACTAGTGGCAGGTTAACCTGTGTTTACCAGTGTCCTCATGCACCACTACGTGCATGCTGTTCTCATTCACAGCCACTGTTGCCAGAATGTCACATGTGGCTTTGTCATTAGCACAGACGTAACATTTCACATCAAAGGAATTTCAAAGACGGAGTTGCAAAAATGATTCTTTTTGTACCTCTTTCATCAGTAGAATATGGAAGAAAATATAAGCTGATCGGACAACATTTTAACTGTTTTCATTGCCATGACTTTTGTACTGTTGGGTTCTGTGAAAGTTATGCTGTCAGAAAGACATGAAGTACAAGAAGTTTGTAACATAACTGTAGTGGTTTAAGTAGGTGTTTGGATAACCCAGAGTGTTAAGATAATACCATTGCAGCAGTTGTTAGAAGGTTGTGCTGACCAAGCAATACTGAAATGGCCATTTGCAAGGATTTACTGTTGTTTAATCTGCTACGGAAACATATATATCATGATGGTATTCATTGTGAGTGTTCTAATGGGGTCATTGTGACTGGGAAAACAACTTCATAATGGATGGACTGGATCGTGCCGTGGATGGGCTGGGGGAAGATAACTTTGCATGTGGGAGGTGGAGGGAATGGTTAACCCTGGGTAAAAATATAACTGTTTTATGAATTGAGGTTGACATAGAAAGTGCTGTTGACCTTTCTATGAAGTTGGATTGGACTTGCTTCTTGCACTCATTACATCAACTCTTTGACAAGAAGGTACATCACCATCATTATATTCAGCAAATTTCTGTATGTTTGTCTTTGTTGAAATACCTTGGGAAAACAAGTGCCTTCACCTCACAGCGACGTCTGTCATGCAGGCCCCAAAACAAATATATTGGTCTAGAATATGTGGGAGGTCTGAAAGTAAAGAAAGTCTGTGGGCTGGTTTATATTATACTATGATATGAGTTAGGAACTGTTCTTCCTTCTGATAGATGCTATGATGTTAGTCTACTTACAGCCTATCAGGGCTTGAATCATGTCAAGCCATGTGACAAGCTGAACATTGTGCAATAGATCTATTGGCATTTTCACATTTGCTGAGGTGAGAGAATTCAATTTGTGTTTGATAATGATGCGTTTTTGATGGTATATTAATGTCGTGTCTTCTGTATTGCAGGCTACAAACTTGCACAAGTTCAAGGTCCACACCTATGGCAGTCCAACCTTCTGTGACCACTGTGGCTCTCTACTGTATGGACTCCTACATCAAGGCCTTAAGTGTGACGGTGAGTGGCAGTGTTGTGGTGGCCCCGATACAGCAACCTCACTCACTCACTCACTCATGCACTCACTCATGCACTCACTCACTCACTCGGTGAGTGTTATTGTTGTGGAGACCCCAACTGATACAGCATGCACTCATACACTCACTCACTCACTCACTCACTCACTCGGTGAGTGTTAGTGTTGTGGAGACCCAACTGATACAGCTGACTTATTGCTAGATACAGCATACACTCACTCACTCACTCACTCAGTGAGTGTTAGTATTGTGGAGACCCAACTGATACAGCTGACTTATTGCTAGATACAGCATACACTCACTCATGCACTCACTCACTCACTCACTCACTCACTCACTCACTCGGTGAGTGTTAGTGTTGTGGAGACCCAACTGATACAGCTGACTTATTGCTAGATACAGCATACACTCACTCATGCACTCACTCACTCACTCACTCACTCACTCACTCACTCACTCACTCACTCGGTGAGTGTTAGTGTTGTGGAGACCCAACTGATACAGCTGACTTATTGCTAGATACAGCATGCACTCACTCATGCACTCATGCACTCACTCACTCACTCACTCGGTGAGTGTTAGTGTTGTGGAGACCCAACTGATGCAGCTGACTTATTGCTAGATACAGCATACACTCACTCATGCACTCACTCACTCACTCACTCACTCGGTGAGTGTTAGTGTTGTGGACACCCAACTGATACAGCTGACTTATTGCTAGATACAGCATACACTCACTCATGCACTCACTCACTCACTCACTCGGTGAGTGTTAGTGTTGTGGAGACCCCAACTGATGCAGCTGACTTATTGCTAGATACAGCATACACTCACTCATGCACTCACTCACTCACTCGGTGAGTGTTAGTGTTGTGGAGACCCCAACTGATGCAGCTGACTTATTGCTAGATACAGCATACACTCACTCATGCACTCACTCACTCACTCTCTCACTCACTTGGTGAGTGTTAGTGTTGTGGAGACCCAACTGATACAGCTGACTTATTGCTAGATACAGCATACACTCACTCATGCACTCACTCACTCACTCGGTGAGTGTTAGTGTTGTGGAGACCCCAACTGATGCAGCTGACTTATTGCTAGATACAGCATACTCACTCACTCACTCACTCACTCACTCACTCACTCACTCACTCACTCACTCACTCACTCACTCGGTGAGTGTTGGTGTTGTGGAGACCCCAACTGATGCAGCTGACTTGTTGCTAGATACAGCATGCACTCACTCATGCACTCACTCACTCACTCACTCACTCACTCGGTGAGTGTTAGTGTTGTGGAGACCCCAACTGATGCAGCTGACTTATTGCTAGATACAGCATACACTCACTCATGCACTCACTCACTCTCTCACTCACTCGGTGAGTGTTAGTGTTGTGGAGACCCGAACTGATGCAGCTGACTTATTGCTAGATACAGCATGCACTCACTCATGCACTCACTCACTCACTCGTTGAGTGTTGTGGAGACCCCAACTGATGCAGCTGACTTATTGCTAGATACAGCATACACTCACTCATGCACTCACTCACTCACTCACTCGGTGAGTGTTAGTGTTGTGGAGACCCCAACTGATACAGCTGACTTATTGTTAGATACAGCATACACTCACTCACTCACTCACTCGGTGAGTGTTAGTGTTGTGGAGACCCCAACTGATACAGCTGACTTATTGCTAGATACAGCATACACTCACTCACTCACTCACTCACTCGGTGAGTGTTAGTGTTGTGGAGACCCAACTGATACAGCTGACTTATTGCTAGATACAGCATACACTCACTCATGCAGGCACTCACTCACTCATGCACTCACTCACTCACAGAAGTTCTCACAGTTACAATCATCTATTGTCAAGGCTAACAAGACCTTGTATCTAAACATCAAAACTCCTGAAAATGAAGATGTATGCTAGAATTTCAACACCTTGTACACCAGCTTTGAATACTCTCTTCCCAAATCCACCATCAGAGTTTGATCACTTCCCTCAAGGACAGGTCGACAGCTTGACAGTGTGTAAGATGCTTACTTCAGTCCCATAGGACATGCAGTGTTGGTTCAGCTCCCAGAGACAGAACTAAATGGACAGTGTATATTAGGATGCTGACAGCTCACCACCTCCAGCAGCATGTGATGTGGATATATGCTGTCTGAGGGTCTGTCTTAAACTTGTACATTTGCCATGTAAATTAGTAGGTTCCAGGCAGTGGGATCTCTGTATCTGCCCAACTCTACATAGGAAGGTTCATGCATACTTAACAAGGCCATGGATAAGAGGCGGATAAGAGGCGTTTACTAGAATGATGGTTTCCTGAAAAGGCCTTGTTTGTGGCAATTGGGTGTGAATGTAGGCCGTTTTGCACTGCACAAGTGTGTATTCTTACAACAGTCTCAGTGGCTGTGAATATACTGCTCAAAGGAAGTTAAGAACATTCAACTTTTTCAATTGGCTAACGTGACTCTGCCATGAAACATTGCAACAGACAGCTTTCAAATTTTTTACATTCGTCAACTTGTTTAGTAGCAGTAGTATGTATCTGTCACTTGATGTAAATTGAGGGTTGATGGGACAAAGTGAATATTTGACCAAATAGGACTGGATGGAGGCTTGACCAGACGGTTAAAGGAAGTCCTCAAAAAGGTCGAAACTGGATGGTATGGTAATGTGTGGGTATTGGTTTGTGAAGTGGCTGGTAGAATAAAGGATGGATGGATGGATGGATGGACGGACGGATGGATGGATGGATGGACGGATGGATGGATGGATGGATGGACGGACGGATGGACGGACTGACGGATGGATGGATTGATAGATAGGTAGATACCAGAGAAAAAGGCTTCTCTTGATGAAGCGTCTAAATGGTTTGTGGAATAGATAATGTTTCATTAGAGATTCCACACAGGAGGTAAATAAGGTCTTGGATCAATACGATGGTCAGGAGATCTCACTGACATTGTTTGTCGGAGACTGCACTTATGATATGTGTCTTCACTCCATTAATAACAAGGTAGTAGATCCCTCGCCGTCTGGCAGGAAACTACTCTCCTGACAACTAATCCCTTCATCATATGCACGTCCCCATTCTATCACATGCTCCACCATCCTAAATATGTGTGGCGCAGGAAAGACGATGATAATGATCCTGGAAATATGTTAGTAAACCTTCTCAGGCTGCACATGTGATGGAAAATTGTCAACTAAGAAGAGACTACTTGACATTTGCCAAGATTATTTGCACAAATCCCTGGCGGCTTAGCTTGGACAATAAGTTGCTTACGTGATAACAGTTTCCTTATGACTAGCTATCAATGCAACAGTGACTGGGACAAGGCGGTGTAGTAACCGGGGGAAATGCAGCTGAAGATGCGGCCCTTTGACATGAGATGTCCATTAGATACTCAGCTCTTGTAGCCCATTTTGTTCAATAGCTAGTCAGGGAGTACAGGAAGCTGCCTCGTATAAGCCATTTCCACTTGATTATATTCATGGTGATCTTAAACTTGTTTGACTTTTTGAAAAAAAAATTAAAAAATTTACGTTGTTTAAAGTTTATTTAACTTTCTTTTACCCCGATGTTGGGTGTTCTGAGTTCTGCTTCAAGCCCACAACTCATTTGACGATTTGGATTTTGGATATTTCTGTTTTTAGAATTAAGAAACATTTTAGGATATGTTTACTCTGACGTTACAATCCGGTCACTACGGGTATGTCGAGTCATGAGTGTTTAATGTGGAGTTTTGGCAATCATTGCATAGCTAATCGAAAGTTTCACCAGTGGGAAGTAATCAAGTTTTGTAGTAGGCTTGTTCAAAATAGGATTTGTGAGGTAAATGTCTGTTATTCCACTTCGCAAGAGATGATTTGGTTTTTTAAGAAACTGTTTTAGAACATGGCAACATGTTGGTTCAGTTCATGTTTATTTGGGAATCGAATCCCTTTAATCTGAAAATGTCAGTGGTCTTTCTTATATGGAATGTGTATGCCAAAACTTTTAAAAAATCTTAAAGAGTATAATCATCATTGTGATGGCAGGCTGACATGGGGAATGTGTTTGTGGTATGTCCAAGTGATGAATGATCTAGCAGCTAGCGAAATGGATACATATTTAAGATTTTTAATAAGAATTAGGGGTAGCGGTGAGGTAGCCTCATTAGTTAAGGCATTCGTTCATCACGCTGTAGACCCAGGTTCGATTCCCCACATGGGTACAATGTATGAAGCCCATTTCTGGTGTCCCATGCTCACTCATATTAACATGGAATATTGGGGTAGCCTAGTGGTTAAAGCTTTGGCTCGTCCAAAACGGTTCAATCCCTCAGTCAGTCAGTCAGTCATATTTCCAGTCAGTCAGTCATATTTAACATAAAAGAGTGGCATCTAAAGTCTTGGTAGAAAATATTCTTTCCTCTTTTCTATTTTGGTTTTTATCAGTAGAAGAGAAAGAAATACAATGTAGTCAGAGTTTATATTTTTTCACTCTTCTGTTTAGTTGATTGGTGGATCTGGAAACTGAGTATTGCCTTGTATGGTGTGGTATTATTTTGTGGAGGTAATTGTAATTATTGTCCTATGATCCAGGTATATGGTTGAATCTACTGGATATAGGCATGTGATGATAATTTGTATGATATAGAATATCCCTCCTACACACATTTGAAACCTGAGTATAAAGAATGTCATTAACTCTTTGGAAAATCCTAATCACAGTTGTTTTATTCTTGCAATTGTATGATCAAATTCTATTCACAGAGTAGTTGACTTGATATGATTCTATTCACAGAACTGAATTCAGATTTAGAAAAAAAAGGTCATTTCAGTGTTAGTGGGTTTTCTATGGTGTATCCTGTCAGGTGATTTGTTCCCAGATGAGATGCTCACCTATCATCATCTCTGGAAGTCCTTGATGGAGCCAGAACGTGAACGCTGCAGCACTAGTCTGTCTCACAGTCAAGCAACCATAT